ACCTTTGCTTTACATCTTCATGCCCTGGGGTTGCACTTTCACTTTTTACATGGATGACTGGCTTCTTCATACTTATTCTGAATAGGAGTCAGCCTGTCATACTCATCAGCTTCTTCTCAAGGCTGCTCGAGTGGGCTGGTTGATCAAATTGGAGAAGTCCTTCCTTTTTCAACACCCATCTCAGTTTGGCCCAATCTTCTCCTCTCCAGCTCTGATCTATGGAACTGGCCATTCGAAATGCCCTGTCTGCTCTTTCACTTTCTGCTTACGAGGTTCTGTCGCTCCTCTTATACCCCTTGGCCGGGCTCGTATGCAATCCTTTTAATGGGTCCTCCATGACCAATGGAACCTTGCTAAGGATCATTTGCATACTCCTATATCCCTTCCTTCCTACATTGTAGATGATCTCCAATGGTGGTTAGACAAGGCTCATACATTTGCAGGTGTGTCACTTCTTCCTATGCAGCCATATTTACATCTGTTCATAGATGCATCCCTTGAGGACTGGGATGTGTGGGTCGATCAACAGGAGGCCTCAGGTTGTTTGTCTGTTGGGGAACATTCTCTTGATATCAGTGTCCTCAAACTCCTTGCTTTTCATTGGGCTTTGGATCACTTTCTTCCCATCTCCAAAGATGGTCTGGTCGTGATCCATTCCAACAATTCAACAATGGTAACTCATATCAATCACCAAGGTGGCACCCGGTCAAGATCTCTGTGATTTCTAACATAAGATCTTCACTTTTGGGTCCATTATCATCACATTTGTTTGATGGAGTGTCACATACCAGGTGCTTTCAACCTTGTTTTCATTTTTCCCAACCTGACCAGGTTTACCCAACGAAGTGGTCCCTTTATCCCCTTGTTTTTCAGTGGCTTTGAGATTGGTGGGGTATTTCTCATATCAATGCATTTGCCACTACCCTCAATCAACAGTTACCTTTGTTTTGGCCCCTGGTTACCCATACTCGGGCATTGGCTACAGATGCCTTTAGCCAGGATTGGTTGAACAAGTTCCTTTATGATAACCCTCCTACCTGATTACTTCATCGTGTAGTCTGCCTCATCCATACCACTCTGTGCAAAGTCCATCTGATTGCTTCTTACTGATCCGATCAATCATGATTTTGTTGATTACTTCAGCTACAGTTGTTCCCTCCCATCCCTCTTCCTTTATTCCCTGAACATCTTAGTCAATTCTAGTTGCCAGTTTTGCATCTCGCATTTCATACCTGATTTTTGTTCGGTCCATGGTGAGGAGATCCAGTTTCTTACATTGGGTAACATCTCATTTAGCTCATTCCATTCGTCCTTCATCCATGGTTGTGTATCACTGGAAATGGAATGTTTTTCGCACCTGGGCCCTGGCTTGGGGTATCCCATTTTCTCATTCTCCGGTTACTGATATCTCTGAGTTTCTTACATGGCTTTTTGAGAAAGGGTCTTTGATCTCCTCAAAATCGGGCAGCCCTATTTCATACTTTCTGTTTTTCCTGTTACTACAGGGTCTTTCTTTCCCCCTGTCCTTGCCATTTTCATCCGTTCTTTCTGGATCTATCAGCTGCCTAGACATCCAGTACTTATGAATCGGAGCATTAACGTGGTACTCCATTCCCTTACTTTATCTCTATTTGAGCCCATTGCCTTATGCTCTTTGTTTCACATATCCCTTAAGATGTATTTCCATCTCCTTTTGGCTTGCAGACAGTGTTGGTCGGATCTGTTTACTATCGATATCACTCGCATACTGTACCACCAAAATTATCTGCTCCATTATCAGATTGTTATTTCCTTCCCAAGATCTTAGCAGCTCGTGAGGGCACCTCCTCCTTTTTAACCATTTCCTTTCCCTCTATTTCTCATCTCTACCCTTGTTCTGATCCAGATAGACTTCTATACCTGGTTCTTTCCCTACATAGTTATATTGCCTGCACAGTTTCTTTCCAGGGTTCCTGTTCCTGTCTCTTTATCCCATGGCAAACCTCTTCCTCTCGGGATCTTTCTCTCTTTACCCTAACCAATTAGGTTTGACGTTTAATCCATTTGGCTTATTCCTTCATGTCCCCTTCCCAATGGGCTTTGTTCTGTGTTACCTCCCATCAAATCCGACACCTCACCTTTTCCCTTGCTTCTCGTCTTCCTCGGCCTTTGGAGGAGATTCTGCAGTCAGGCATGTGGACCACCCCTCAGATGTTCATCTCTCATCACACACATCACGTTGCAGTTTCTGCTTCCTCTGGGTATTGCCTAGTGCCTGTGGCTGTACTTCAGACTTTGGTGTGGTTATGACACTAGGTAAGTCTTTATTAATGCTTTCTTTTCTTTCAGGGGCCTTTGCTTCGAATTTCATTTCTAGGATTCTGCTCTGTGGCAAGTGGTGCCTGACCAGGTATTCTTTACATACACAGTTAAATCTGCACTGTACACCATGTTGACTCACATGCTCTTTCCATGGCTCTGCATGCTCACCTTCAAGATGGGATGTTTCACATGATCACTGGATGGTTAATAACGTTGTAATATTTGCTTCATAAATAGGCCAGTCCAAGACCATACCACCCATAGACAGCATGGGTAAAGCACAAGGAGATAGTTACCCATAAATTGGTATGGTCTGCTTTTCAAAATAGGGTTTCATGATCATCCATTGCACTATCTCGGGTGTAGCCATTCCTCTGGACTCTCCAATACACTCCCCCTTCTTCCAGTGGAGTATGGAAGTCCTTACCACTTGCCAGTTCCAAGATGCTGGGGTGGTAGACCATGGAGGCATCCTGCTGGATGGGTTCAACATAGATGGATATAACTATTCAGTTCAGAGTAGGGCGGTGATGTTCTGCTAGTGTAGAAGGCATAAAATCCTCCGGGTTGAGTGGCACATACCACAGAGAGAGAGATCTAAATGCAGTTCACCAATTTGATTGGGTGCCCTCATCCTACCCTCGTATGGATGTTAGTACTCCATGAGCTGGTTTTGGATATCAAGCGAACCAATCAATTTAAGTCCTCACACAGGTTTGGGGTTGCCCCATCTTCCTCACTCGATTCTTCCTTCTGTGTAATGGGTCACGGAGGGTATTCGTGGGATGTTTCTGTCCTAGGCACTCCCTTGTTCTCTCTTGCGATGGGGATGTTACTGACCTTTGGACATTTAGGACAAGACTCACAGTCGTGGGAGTTGATTGCATGTGATGAACTTCCCTCGGATACCGGATGACACATTCCTGGATCCCTAGCTCAAGGCTACTCCTATGTTATGCTCTGGAGTCCGTATTTTCCTCATATACACAATTTTGGGGTTTGAGGTGAAGCTGGTATTATCCTCATCCTACCCTTGCATGGATGTCAGTACTCAGCGAGGAGGTTTTTGGTGTATTTGACTTGCCGAGAACAGTTTGCCATGCTCTGGCCATTCTATACCATGGGACACATCTGGCATTACCCACTTTACATTTGTGGAATTGTGTTTCTATATTTATCTGGTGGGGATTACTTTCTTAACTTATCCTCTACCACTGGGATGTGCTCCCTTTCTTTTCTGCCGTGTTTGTTCCTACGTGCCCCTTCTCAGATCATCTGATCTGTTTCTCTCATCTACAGAAGTATCCTTTGGATGCTTTCAGGGAATACGTATCTCCTCCTTTTCATTGTGGGATTCTAGCTAATCTTGTGAGAGAAGGGAAGTACCGTTTTGGAAGTTATATTTTTCCTGTACTGAAACTGTATTTCCAATAGGTACTTCCCTCTGCTCTCACTTCCCACCTCCTCTCCACAATCTTTCGGTGCCTATGATCTGCCAAACTTCGAAGTGAAGGTTTGGTAGTGGCGCATAGAGGGAGTCACATGCATCATGTAATAGTAGTGCTCTCCTATTGGTGGAGAGAGCATGAGAGACATGTTGGAATCTTTGATTCCAATAGAGAGGTGTGTAAGGCTTGTAGCATGCATTCAGAGGGCAGCACAAAATGGGAAAACTAATCTTGTGAGTGGAGGGAAGTACCTATCAGAAATACATTTTCAGTATAGGAAAATTACAGCGTCAATTCATGCTTGTTGTACATTTCTGTTTTTTGTTTTTTTATATTAAATTTCTTACAAAATACTCAAATTAGAAATAAAGCCTAATCTTGGTGATTAAAATCAAGTCTTATAAATGTTTTTCCTTATGTATTTTGGATTAATGCTTTATGGATTTTGAATGAGAAGACTGTAAAAATAGCTGCTAAGTTTAAAAAGCTTAATTATTTCACCAAATTATGCATTTTATCCCCACTGTTTAAACTTAATTTAGGTATTGTTGGTAGATTGTTAATAGTTTAAGAAGCTAAACTCAGTATCTGTAAAACTCTTTAACAGTAAGTTAACATACTTCATATAATCCTAGTGATCTCTTTTAAACAAACTTTCTGGTACACAAAATACTTAACTAATACTTTTAAACTTTCTCCTACAAAACTTGCAAACTTGCATCATCTTAGATTATGTTATATTAGAATTCTGCATTAAAGGAAATACTAGTGGGCTTACAGTAGACTGGGCAAAATCAAATACAAATAAGTCTCACAGAGATGGTAATGCATAATTATAAATCTAAACCAGTCATTACTGTATTGCAAGAAAGTATTCAATTTTATGCTCACTAAATTTAACCTGCTACTATTTAACAATATGAATTTCAATTATAATTTTGATATCTTTTTAAGTTTTGTTTATAAATCGTGAAGATTACAAACACTGCTGTTAATAAAGGTAGTTAAAAACTAGTAAGTGTGTTCACAGTTTGTCTTTTAGCTCCATAACAATAATTAATATAATTTCTTAGAATAAAATTCATTCATAGTTTTGATAGTGGAGAAATAAAGGCCTAACTTAGCAGTTTAAGCCATGAAAAGGTGTATTAATGTTTAGAGCACTTTGTTTTATCTTCCTATTAAAATTAAACTTTATCTTATATGTATGTGTGCATATAATGTGCAATAACTACCATTATACTTTTTAAGGGGTTTTATTTGCTGTCCCCTGTGAAGTCCCCAGGAACAAAAGTTACCATGATTCCTGTCTCTCTTCCCAAATCACCCCAAAAAATTGCTCCAGCTCCAGCATGTGGGACAACATCAAATTTCCCAAGAGTTGCCATAGCAACTGCCATTGCTGGAGGATCTACACCAACAGTAACTACTACATGTACAGTAGCCAAGCAGACAACAATGCCAGCGACAACAACTAAGGTTCTCTGGAAGACTGTTGTTCCAGTATGTAATATGTATCTTGTGTAAAAACAATATAGCTGGATTTTTGCCTATGAAAACTAGATTAGTAAAGATCTGTCGTTGAAAGAAATTGTAAGTTTTATTTGTTTTTTTATAACATTAATGAACAAAAATGATGTACAATGTTTGTTAATCAAAGGTTTGCAGTTTTAAACATTTTCTTTTGGATTATACAAGAAGAATATGGCACTAAGCCATTATGTGTAATTTTTCTGTCGACAAGCTAACAAATAATATTCAAATCATAGAAATGGATACAGATTAATTAAGACTAAAGAGATTATAATCTAAATTAATATTCTCCAATTTAAATCTAATAGATGCATTAGTTGTGTAATAGGTTAAAACAATATGGTAGTTACATCAGCAATAATTCAGTTGTAACTCTTGCATTTCCTATAGTTTTAACTGACATAATTCAAATATAATTGTATGTGAATATGATTGTTTAACAAATTTTTTTATATTCTACAATTAAAGTGTGTGTGTGCTCTGTTTTTAAGCAGAAGGTCACTCTAAATCAATACAAGTTTCGAGTTGGTACAACATGTCTGAATAAATGTAACGTGGTTCAGATTAAACACTCGCCATTCACAAACAATGCTTGTTTTAGCAAAAGAAAAATGCTTTCCATTCTCTATCGTTGGTAATGGAAAACATGATGAAATTAATACAGCAGACATTGAACATTTGTGCAAATCAGTTTTGACACATTGTACAGCTGTAGCATTATTACTGTATATAATCATAGCAGAATTAGAAAATATTTTCTGTAAACTTGTCCTCCGGGATGAGTGAATCTAAAGTTTCACTTTTACTGAATTTTTTAGTAAGTTATTGTATATACTGTGAAAAAGCAGGACAAGTAATTCAGCAAAGTAGTTAGAAACTGACAAAAACAAAGAATATTTGAAACAGGGGAACAAATTTTTATTTTTCTTAACTTTGAAAGCTTTAATGGAAGTAATATCGTAAAAAAAGTATTCAACCTTAAACGTTTCAGTCCAGTCCATATAAATTCAACAATTTTTCATCATGCATTTTGTTTTAACTTAGATTTCACTTTAAAGCAACTATAATACTTATAAAATCTTGAACATTTGAGTCTTGACTATATGTAACATATACTCACTTGTGTATATAACTTAAACAGTTTTTTTAACCATTTACTCTGATTCATTTTGATTAAATATGAACTGTCTACTGGCTGTTTGGTACTTTTCTCTAGGACCAGAGCATGTGTGGTCTTTGGTGTCTTGTTCGTTTGTCCACTGTTTAACCATTTCACAATGCTTTGGGTTCAGTTATAATCTTCTAATGTAAGCCTATCTCTCTTGATTCATACCAGAGGAGACAGTTTCTTTATTCAGAGTTATTCTTGTCCCTGTCTTAATTGGATCAAGAGTCGGTATATTAATTAGTTACGCTTCCAGTTCACCATTTTGCTCCACATAGTGTACGTAAACTAACTCTGGTTGAATCATTTCTTTATCAGTTTATCCATTTGCGAGGAAACTAATAAATCTGACCTTGCATAAATCTTCTGTTGTTTTCTCTTCTAAAATCTCTGAAGTGCTCATACAAAATTCTCTACATGCTGTGTTAAAAAGTTTTTCATATTTAACACTGTATTTTCATCTAGCCTCTTTACACTTTTTGTTGGATGTGTTTCTCTGGGTTTATCTAAAACATTTCTGTTCAATACATTTGATGTGTTTGGTACTCTTATTGTGATATTTTGTAGTTTCTTTTCTGTATTTCATATTGATGCCTTTAACTAGGGACAAGTCTTTCTAAAAGTTCTGGAAATTGTGAAACTTAACAGAAACTAACCATTCTTAACTTTTGCCCAAGGAAATTCTTCTAACCTTCTTTGACTAATCTTTTTCTTTTATTATACATTTTCTGGCTAAGTTTTTCCACTTTGACATTTTTATTATCTTTACCTTTCTGTTCACTGTTGCCACCACCCTACAAATGTTTTCAAATGTCTGAAATTTTTATAGCAGTCAACAACATGACACTTCAATCTTTTGTTGGGTTACATGTAAAATCCTTCATTTATCACAGAAAATAATAAATAACTATGACAAGTCTTGCATTCAGTTTACAAGACTTTTATTGCAGCATACAGCATTTCCAAGGACAACAGAAACACACTTACCTATAGAAGCAACTCACTCATGAGGCAAGATGTCTGGGTTCATTTTGAAGCGGCAGTTCACGTCTAGCTATTTTTTCTCACAGTTTTAATTTTTTCGCTAGCTGTTTACCATGTCTACATGAACACATTTTCTCACATTGAATTGATATACTTCTTCTGGAAAAATGCATTCATCCTGTCAGATGACTGACCAACAAATTTAACTTGTTCTACATTAAAAAATCGCTTGTAAAAATGAGTAGATGAGTTGAATTTTCAACACCTGAACAGGCTACATCAAAGCCATGCCAGGTGAATTGGAAGAGACCAGCAGTAATAAAAGTCTTAGTGCTATTGTGTACTAAATTATACAGTGCCTAAAACAGCATCAAACATGATTTTAAGATATAATCAGTCAGACTCAACATTGTACAATTCTGCTAATGACAGTTTCATTTACACCATATTTGGGTTATAGTACTTTTTGGTAAGATGCATTTACAAAATCCTGTAATTAAACTATTTTTGTATTAATTTTATGTCATTAAATTAAAAAAAAAGTATGAAGAAATACAACATACGTTCTAGAAAGATATCCTCATGACATTTTTAGAAATATTTTATTAAGTGTAGAAATGGGTATATGTAAAAAAATATTTGACAGAACCTTTGAATTATTGAACTGCCACCCTTACAGGCAACTGTGAAATCATCAACTTCTGCAGCAGGGTCAGTTCCTCAGACAATAAAATTAGTTGCTGCAAGTGGTTTACCTCAGGTTTTGATGAAACCAGGTAATTTACCTGCCTCTAACCTGTCAGGACCTGGAGCTTCACCTGTTGTATGTCCAATCCAGGTGCCCGGGAGTAAGTTCCCTTATGTACGACTTGTAACAGCTTCTACTCAACAGACCTCAGTTTCCACGGGTAAAAATGATGTAACATTGCTTTCTGTTCTGATATATCTTATAATGTTATATTTTGTGTTCTTGGTTTATACTATTAAAGAAAAATGTCAATAAGACATTTAGCAGATGTCATTGAAAACCGATTGTTACATCCATTTCACCTTTTTAATTGAATGGAACTCTATTAAATCTTGACTAATTGTAAAGAATTGTTTGCAAAAATGTATACTTTTAATCCATTTCTTTTAATTTTGTGGATATTAGTTTCTCATTATAATGCTGAGGTTTCAATCATATCTTGCTCACTGAAAAACTCAAATTCTTCTTTAAAGTTTTAATAATGATAAAGAGCATCTTCTAAGTAAAAAAAACAAAGAAAAGTATTGTGTTTGCAGTAATTTGTAAAGAAAGATAAGCTCAAATACCTTAATTTACCTTTCAGTGGATAGAAGGCTAATCTACATTGATTACATGACATTAAAATGATTTTGGAGCCTATGTTATTATAGTCCAGTCATGCTCTGTCTGAAGACTGTGCATCCTGGCAATACCCTTGCAGCATAGTTTACATTGCATAAGATCCTGTCATAATGCTGCCATATCCAAAGTAAACCACCTATCCTTGCTCACTTTCCATAGACCATTTGTGTATGAGGACAGTGTAGCTCTTGTACATTCTGTTCCACTACAGTTTTATCAGTTATGGTTGTCATGTCACTTGCAGATTTGCATATTCAAAATCATTTTAATATAATATATTCAACCCTCTGAAATTGAATCAGGGTCAGCAGTGAATTGTTTTTTTTTTTTTTATATCTATGAGTAATTCCATCTTAAACTATTTTTACATGTAGACTGGTTATCTTTTGAAACCAATTCTTATTATTTTGTAATTTTCCCTCTTGTTGAACTCTAAGTTAGAGATAATGTATCATATTTTACATTTAAAATTTTAATACTTGTATCAATGAAATTTAGTTAGTGCCTAAACCTAAAATGTTTATAATAAATTATGAGCTTAGGTTGATAATTTTAAATAATTATAATTTCATAACTTTAGTATGGTTTGTTCTTCTCACAGTTGTAACACCTAGAACTGCCACAGTTGGACCTGTTAGTGGTATCAGAAGCATGGCTCACAGTGCTCAAGTAGGCACATCTACTGTTCAAACTGTTGGAATGTCATCGAACCAGTTACGCTTTGCTGTTCCAATTGTTCCGGCCATCTCAGGACATAGTCAGGTCAAGATCTTAAGTGTAAAATAGACCTTTTGTTTATAAGAAAACTATGAAATCATACAGTATTTCAAATTTTCTGTTGTGAGATTCAGTATTTTTTGTTGTTGTTGTTGTTTGTTCTTTTTAGAAAACTGTATTGGTTATTTCCTAAGATGCATTGTTTCTTATTATAAATATATACAATTTATACTTTTACAGTAATTTCTCAAAACTACATAATATCTAATTGATACAAAATATACTATCCTCCTATCTTCCTGTCATTGTTTAATGCCAAAAAAAAGTAAATGATACCATTTACTTATGGATAATGCATACTTATTTTGTATTTTCTGATACTTTGTGATTCTAAGTACAAATTGTACTATTATCTGCATGTCACTGCTTTTATGTTAAGTAAGTTAAAAAAAAAAGAAGCCTTATCTTCTTATTGCTTTATGCAGAACAAGAACTGTTTTTACTATTATCTTATCTTATTTTTTATTGTAAATTATTATTACTCATTGTCAGTGATGGAAATGGCTTTTAAGAAAGAGGTACATGCTTGGGAAAAACGATCACTCGCGCACACACACACATCTATCTATATTTCTTTGTCTTGTTCTATTCAAAATGAAAAGGTATAGCATATATGTCTGTTAAATTAAACATTATAATACATTAGACATGAAAATACATTAAATAAATGTAAATTTTTTACAAATTTATTAAGAATAATAATAACATATAATTGACAATTTTACATATATATGTGTATTGTATATATGTATTAGACTCGTGTTTACATTAAATAATATTCCTTAAACATGTATACTCTGAATTTTCTTCTGTTGCCTCCTTTTTCTGCATGGCATTTCTTCAGCACACCACTAAGAAGCCATGTCTTCACATATTCTTCAGGGTTGAATTTTGACAGAGAAGATTCCACTAACTTGATAAAGAGAAGTGTTAAATTATTTTTAATTTTAAAAATGTAAAATTTTGTCTGTGAATAACTGCCTTATCTAAGATGTGTTGAAACATGATGGACATGTTGCACGTGGGTCTGAAATCATTCTCTTTTTAACTACATTTTACTCTTGTCTGTCAGTAACATTGTGTTAGTGTTGCACTATTCTCATTGAATTAGAATTTTTAATCCAGGGTACTTGCGTATGAAAAGACTGAAAAATAGATTTTCACTATATGAAAATTATTTCAGTGGGTAAAATTAGAATATAAAATGTTATGTGATATTAGTTTTTCTCAAAGCTGTGTCATGGGTCTTAAAACTTGATACTAGAATTGTTTTTGCAAAATATGTAATTTAAAGAAGTTAGGTAAATAATTTAGTGTAGGTATGAATAATTTAAATTGAACCAAAAATTAAGATAAAGAAATTCCAAAACATACTTACCATCCGCTGACACCTTACCTATTCCTCAATCTTGACTTTGCCCATCTAACCATTGGTCTCGCTTGCTCCAGTCTCTTATACCCCACTTAAAATGCTCTTGATGTTGCAACACTCTCCACCCATGTAAATGTGCCCTCTATCCTGGTGCTGTATATAACCACCTAGCTCAGATAATGTAATCCCTATTTCTTGACAAAGCATTGGTCGCAGTTTTCTCTGATGCAGTGCTATTCTTCATTATGTTCTGGATTGCAATTTTGGCATTGCCTTGTGGATTTCCATACAATAACAATTTCCTTAGAAAAAATTTGATGGGCTGTTTCAGGGCACAACTTCCCATGTTACTGTTGTCAGCACAGAGGCTAATCACACCTCCCCTATTCCTCCTGTTATTTAGTATCTCTCTTTGGTCAGGTGTGTGTGTGGGTGGGGGGGGGGTAACTCTCAGTTAAGGCTGTCCATGATTTGATCCATTGTGATATGTAGACATATTTGGCATGGAGATGTTTCTCCTGGGGATTTTGAGGCTGCTTTTTTTTATATGATTCAGGACATTCTGTGTCGAATTTGAATTCGGTTTTCTGGTGCCTTTGTTTACTAAGTCGGTATCTCGCAACGCCAATGTGGATCAAACACCTCCAGCTTCTTTTCTTTAGTTATTTGTGAGATTTTGGGGCTTTCCTCAGTGGCTTTTGAGTCTACTCCTTCCTTGATGGTGGAAAGGTTGGGGAGGACTATGTTGTTTTCCTCCTTTCCCTGATATTACTGGTTCATGCCAGAAGATTTACTGTTTTATTGCATGATGAAATGGATATACCTTGTACCATTGTTTGTCTGTTTGCATGTTTTGGCTTACCACCAACAGGTGAACGTATATTTTGTTTCCACAGACTAGATCCACTTTACAACATAGGGCTCCAGATTGGACCCTGTGATCACCTTGAACAGATCACACTTTTCTTGTATTTGTTTGACCTCGGCTTCTATTCCTCACTTTGTGGATACTCAGAATAGATTCCATCCTTAGTTTCAAGGCTCCTCCACTTGGTCCGACTGTCGCCAATGGTGTCGTTGTCTATCCTAGGTGGGTGGGGTCCGTAGGAGTATGGTTGCAATTGATGGACACCTGGTTTTTCTCCACCACAGATCCATAGGTACTTTAGGTTCTGGTGTCGGGGGTTGGTCTTTCTATTCAGTTCTCTTCCTACATTATCCTCCCAACCTGTAGTATTACCACCCCCAACTGATCAGTGGGTTTTATTCCTGTTGTCCCTGAGGTGATGGGAGGTTGGCAGATAATCATCGATCTTTCTCGACTCAACCAATTCTTTGATCCTCCCAGCTTCACAATGGAATCCTTTTCTCAACCTATGTTGTCATTCGTCACCGGGTCTGTGGATGACCAAGTTTGATGTTGCTGATCCATTTCTCCATATTTACATAGTGAATTCATCCTGCCACTATCTACCTTTTGTGCACAGGGGTCAGGTTCTGCAGTTCAAGGATCTATTCTTTGGCCTAGCATCTGCACCATATGTCTTGTGCAGAGTCTTATGAGTTTTTCAACATGTTTTAAGCCAGGCTCTGCCAACTCCCATCTGGCTCCAGCTATGGAATGGGCAGTCAGGTTCTTACGTGGATGGTTCTATCTCTTTTTAGGGATGTGGACCTTCTTTGAATCTCTGATTCCTTCAATATGAGGACACATGCAGTCTCTTCAGTGGTTACTGTGTGACCACTGGATTTGGAATTCCAATCTATTGGATCATCCAGTCTTTTTCATCAGGAGCAACATCTTAGTTCTCGAGTGGTGGTTGGATTGGATCAACACTACCATCAGTGTACCTATACTGCCCCTATGCCCCAAATTTTCTCTTTTCATAGATGCCTCACTTCAGGGATTGGGTGCGCATATCGAAGGTCAGATATTCTAGGGTATATGGACAAAGGATGAATCTTCATTCCACATAGTAATTTATAACTATGGTTTAAGGTCTTAATCTATGGCATAAATTCCACAGTAGTCTCTTAAATTTCCCATCATGGGGGCACGTGTTTTTGGGACTTTTGTTTTTGCAATTTGATTATTTTTCTATGGGGTTCACTCCAATCATATTGACCTCATGGTTTGCCATTTTGCTGGGGTGATGAATTTCATAGCAGGTTACATGTCTCAGCCCAATCACATTCTCCTAACTGAATAGATTCTCCATTGCAAGTTTTTCCTGATTGATTTGCTCTTGGTTCAGGTCTCCATTGATTGGCGAATTTGCCACTTGTTCAACCTCAACTACCAGCATTTTTGGTCCCCAGTACTTCATCTTCAGGCTTTGATGATAGCTACATTCTGTCCAGATTGGATGGGATCGCACCTCTATACTATTTCCCAATGCGTCTCTTCATCAGAGTTCTGGCTATAATTCAATCCTATACTTCAGAGCTGTTTCTAGCCTCAGATTGGCTGGCCTATCCATGGTTTCCTCTTCTATAGTGTCTTAAAGTGGGTCCACCTTTTCCTCTTTGTTGAGGCAACCTCGATCCAACTTTCTACACCCATACTTTTTTCAAGCTCATCGGGGTTTACCTTCTAAAGTTGCCTTGTGTGTGCCTCACGAGGAGTTTGAGTCCACTTCACCAAACATGCCCATAGTATCTTGTTTTTTTACTTAGGTCTAGCTTCATCTCCTGTCGTTTTATGTAAGGCAACTTTATTGACTACTTTTCATTATTTTATACATCGGAAAGTTTTTGACTTCCCAATGCTATCCAGCCTTCTTTAATCATTTTAAGTACTTTTTCCCAAATGCTCTTTTCAATTACTTAACTGGGATATTAGGGTGGTATTACATGCTTTATCTCACCATACATTCGAGCCTTTAGCCTCATGTACCATGTATGACCTTTCCCTTAATAGGTATTTTTTTTGCTGCTGGCATGAGTATGTTGTAGGTGCTTATATACAGTACCAGGTTAGAGAGTGTATTGATGTTAGTCAAGAGTGTCACAACACCAAGGGCATTTTAAGTGGGGTATAAAAGACTGAAGCAAACGAGACCAATGCTTAGATGGGCAAAGTCAAGGTCGAGGAATAGATAGTGTCAGCGGAGGTAAGTATTATTGGAGATACACTTTTTTGCATTATAAGACAATATTAAATAAATTAGGTTTTACATGTCATTATCTGGTCTTGATAGTACAAAATGAATTCCACATCTAATTGTAAAATAGTAAAAAAAAAAGTTATTCATTGTTGTTTTGGTCATTTATATTTATTGACAACAAAAATTATCAAAATAATTATGTAGATGGACAGATAAATTGCCATAAGATGGTGCACAATTTGGTACAAAAGTATAGATTGCCTAACCAGTAAAAGTAACTTTTTTTTATAAATCATTTAATAGTAAGGAATAGCACTCATCTGAAGTATGTTGAATAAATATCTATCACAAGGTTAAAAAAAGCAAATAAACATGTGCAGTCAGTGTACTAAAGCACCACATTATCATGACAGTAGGCCTAATAATCATGTTAAAAATCACTTAAGACTGTATGCTTTTTCTTGTTGTTATGAGTGCATCAGAATTAGTCAGCTAGTATTGATGACAAGAAACAAAAGTTT